AGGTCTTCCCTAGAATGGCATTGCGCATCAGGGAAGGCTGAAAGGCACAAGACACGAAGTGTGCTTCTGTTTTCTTCAGCCCCGTGACCTCTGTTCACTTTCCTGACCAGAGTCCCCCCATTGTGCCGTTGGGGTGCCTCACTCCCACCCTGAGATGAGAGGGGCACAGATCAAGGCAAGTGCTGCCAGTGAGACAAGGTATTCAGGCAGTCTTCAAGGAGCCCTCCCTCTTCCTTGGCGTCTCAGGCTCTTCTTTTTCTCTTGTTAGGTTTCCTTTTTGTCCCCCAACCCCTTTAAGCACCTTGGTTTTTTTATGAGAGCAGATTTGACTATTTTTTTAAAAAATAGAAAACTTGTATTTTCTCTTTTCTTAAGTTGGCCACGAGGGAGCTTCGGAAGATGCCCATCTTCTGTTTGATCCCTGTTGCACGAGCTGCTGCCCTCTGTGAAGAACAGGTTGGGTGGTAGGTGTCCGTGTCTTTCTGAATACCCGAGAGGAAGGATGAGGTTAGGTCGGTAGGAGGCACAGAGAAACGTGGCCTGTCAGAAGCAGTGCTTTCCACGTTAGCTCTGCCGAACCTCGAGAAGAGAAGGGAGTGGAGGGCTGGTGCTCACTTAGCTGACCACCTGGCTCTGCCGCTAGGAGCCGAGCCCGTCTGTCAAAAGCAAAATCACAGTCTTGATTACGACAGAGTAAATGTTGAATGGGCTGAGCAGAAGAGTCTGGCTTTGTAGACGGACAGCAGCAGGTGAAGAACTGATGAGTTAGCCTCACATTGTTCCCATCTGCTACTGTGGGACTGTAATGCAGAGAAGGCCCATCTCATGCTAATTAGCACTGGCCTCCTTGGAAATTTGGCTGCTCTCTGGTTGTAGTAGCGTGTAGGGCTCCATGTTAGTTCAGGTTTTTTGGGGGGGTTTTCTTGTTTGAGACGGTTTCAGCTGTAGCCCAACTACCCTGGAACTCACTATTCATTAGGTAGACCCCACTGGCCTCTCACTCAGAGATCCGCCTGTCACTACACCCAGCTGTTTAGGTTGTTTTGGGTTTTGGGGGGGTTTTTTGTTTTGTTTTTGTTTGGTTGTTTTTTGTTTGGTTGTTTTTTTGGCTTTTTGAGACAGGGTCTCCCTGTACCCCCAGCTGTCCTAGAACTCACTGTGTAGACCAGGCTGGCCTTGAACTCACAGAGATCTGCCTGCTTCTGCCTCCCGAGTGCTGGGATTAAAGGTGTGTGCCACCACACCCAGCCCTGTTTGGTTTTTTTTGTTGTTGTTGTTTTAATGTGTATTCGTGTATTGCCTGTGTGTAGGTAAGGGCACCCGTGTCGAGCAGTGCCCGCAGAGATCAGAAAAGGCTGTCGGATCCCCTGGGACTGGAGTTACGGACAGTTGTTAGCTGCCATGTGGGTGCTGGGATTCGAACCCAAGTCTTCTGCAAGAACAACCAGTGTCCTTAACCGTGGAGCCATCTCTCCAGCCCCAGGTTGTTTTTTTTAGAGTTCACTTTACTGAAAATTTATTACAATGTCCCATCTTTTCTTTCCAACATCTTGTTCTGCAGCTTCCTTGGCCCTTTTTGCTCAAATGCCAAAGAGCCTGGCGTTGGCACAGGCCACGTGAAGACTGGCAAAAGCCTCAAAGTTCTCCTGTGATCACTCAGGCTTTCTCCTTTTTATAGTAACTTTCGGGATGGGCATCACTGGTCCTGTTAGCTGAGGGCCCAATTTGAATTCTGCAGAGCTGTCTCCCTTCTTGGGGGCAGAAGGCTTCCTGGGGAAGAGGATAAGCTTAGAGCGGTCCTCCTTCAGCTGCTTCACATTAGCCTGCAGGGATTCCATGGACTTGTTCTGCTTTCTTGGATCCACAGAGATGTCGATGGTCTGGGCAACTTTCTTATGGATGCCGGCCATCCGGCATCCAGGCTGAAGCCCTGTCCAGCTCGGACCTTGGTGTGGTATCTCACTGTGGGGCACCGTACTGTGGGTCAGATGGGCCCGGACACGGGACGAGGGATGATGCGGCGCAGTTTCGCCTGCTGGGTCTTGAGTCTGCACATCTTCCACGCTGGCTGGTTGAACCAAGTGTCCACTCCTTGCTGCCAGTCCTTGTGGAAGTGGGGCTTCAGGATTATGCCATTCCGGCTGGGCGCCATAGCTGCCTCCTGTACCAGAGAATGGCCTAGATTTAGTTTTTTTAAGTTTTATCTATTTTTACTTTATGTATATGTTTTGACTGCATGCAAGAGCAGTGCTCGCAGAGACCAGAAGAGGGCTCAGATCTCCTGGAACTGAAGTTATGTTGGGTGCTGGGAACCAAACCTGGGTGCTCTGCAAGAGCAGCCAGTGATCTTATGCACTGAGCTAACGCTTTAGCCCCCTTAGTTTTTTTGCTTATTTTAATTCTGTGTATGCATGCACAGGCACACATGCCGTAGTGAGTGTGGAGGTCAAGGTCAACCTGCTGAAGTCTGTTTTCTACCATTTGGATTCTCAGAGGTTGGACTCAGGTACTCAGTCTTAGCAGTAAGTACCAAGTACCTCTGTGTGCTGAGCCATCTTGACAGCCCCTGTTTTGTTTATTTATGTAGTCCTTTTTTTAAAAATTTTTTTCGGTCTTTTTGAAACAAGGTCTCCCTGTAGTCCCAGCTGGCCTGGAACTCATTATGCAGACCAGGCCGGCCTTGAACTCACAGATCTGACCACCCTGGCTTTATTTTGCCTTTTTTAAGTATGGTTTTTGGATGTCCACTCCCAGAGGTTAGTCTAAAATGGTGATGACCTGACAGTCTTACTAAATACTGGGAAACCCAAAGAAGTTGCTGAAGGCAACACAGGCATCAGGTTAGCACTTTGTGGGGTCGGACACTGTTGCGTGAGTTCAGTAAGAGGCACAAGCAGGAGTATTGGCAAAAGGTCAAGGCCTTGACCCTGTCACAGACAACAAAATAGAGGCAGAGCCAGAATTGGGCCTTGGCTCTTTGTAAGTGCACTTGACCTGTGCAGCCGTTACCTTGCTGAACAGAAAACCTAAAGTGTTGGTGCCAAGTGACATTGCTTATCTGAGCTTTGCTGGATGTTGGGGGCGATGAATGGAAAAACTTACCTACTGGTAGAGATCACATGGTATTCTTTCTTGGGTATCAAGGCTCCCACATATTAATTGACTTTTCACAACCTTCAGAGCACTTATATAAGTAGATGCATCAGATGACTTGCTTAAAGTAACTGTGATAAACTGGGCATGATGGTGCACATCTTTAATCCTAGCACACAGGAGGCAGAAGCAGTCAGATTTCTGTGAGTTTGAGGGCTAATTAGTGAATGCCTAACCTCCTTCCTTCCTCCTTTCCCTTCCCTTTCCCCTTCTTTCTCTTTCTTTCCTTTTTGGTTGAGACAAGGGCTCCCTGTAGCCCCAGCTGGCATAGAATGCACTGTAGACCAAGATGGCCTCAATTCCATAGAGATCTATCTGCCTGCCTCTGCCTTCCAAGTACTGGGATTAAATGTTTGTTCCACCATGTCCAACTGAGGCTTTCTTTAAAAAAATAAAAAGTAGCCAGGCGGGGTGGTGCACACCTTTAATGCCGGCACTCGGGAAGCAGAGGCATGCGGATCTCTCTGAGTTCGAGGCCAGCCTGGTCTACCTAGCAAGTTCAAGGTCAGCTGGGCCTACAGGGAGACCTTGTCTCAAAAAAGAAAAAAAAAGTATTTCAATTTTTTTCCCCCCCTGAATTGGTTATCAGTTGCAGATGTGAGTAGTTGAATTGGATGAATGTTCTGGGATTGTGGCATCTGATCTCTGTTACTCAGTGGAGTCATGGGCAAGGGAAAACGGCCGCGAGTCTCTTTTTGCCGATGTCATAATTGTGAGAAAAGTGAGAGGGCAAGAGAAGATAGGGCTGGCAGAAATTGTAGGTTATTTAATGTAGTTTTGTGCTACTTTACTTTTTAACACATTATTTCTTAATTTGTGAGTAGGACAAGGTGATATGTACCTTTAATCCCAGCACTTGGGAGGCTGAGGCAGGCAGATCTCTGTGAGACAAGGCCATCCTGGTCCACATAGGGAGTTCCAGGCCAGCTGGAGCTACAGGAAGACTCTGTCTTAAATAATGAATAAATGGATGGATGAATGAATGAATGAATGTAGTACTGTTGGCCACTGGCCTGTGATGTTTCTGGCAACTCCTAGGAGTGATTTGATGAGAAAACCCCACAGAGGGTGTAGATTATCTGGAAACTTCCTGGGGTTTGAGTTAATCTATTATTTTTGGAGTTTGTCAGTGAAGGAACACTAGCAATTGCCACTTTGAATCATAGTTTTTGGATACAAATACCAGGCATTAGGTCATGTCAGGTATATTTGTTTTTTTGTTTTTTTTTTAATTGCTTGATCTTTAACCACAAGAGTAAAAATGAACCCCAGTTTCTCCTTTCTTCCATCTCCCCCTTTTATAAGCATATACCACCACACCTAGCTCACCTTAAAATTTATTGATTTATTTTTATTTTATGTATTATGAGTGCTTGCCTACATATATACACATAAGTGCACTATGTGTGGAGTTCCTAAGAGACCAGAAAGGACAGCGGATCCCTGAAACTGGAGCTGAACCTGGAGCCTCCGCAAGAGCAGCCAGTGCTCTGGCCTGCTGAGCCACCTCTCCAGCCCCTTGTGTTTCTTTTTACACTAAATAATTTTCCAAGTCCCAGAGTAAATAAGTGTTTTAGAAAATACAAGTAAAAGCAGGGGTTTCTGAAAAAAGTTGTTCATAATCTCACCACCTGGAGATAGATAGCTTCAAGGCAATAGTTGAGTATATTCATTTGGGCATTTCTCTGGGGCATTTATATGTGCAGACCCACAACAGGGGCATATTCTGTGACACCTGTCCTTTATTCCCCATCTTGAGCATGATAGGCCTGAGAGAGGTTTATGAACTCTGATGGGCATGGTCTGTGCTGTTCTCCCTCTGCTCACTGGTTTCTGCTGTTTTCCAGTGGACGAGTACATCGCCATCGCCAAAGAGAAGCACGGGTACAACATGGAGCAGGTAACAGCGTGTTCTCTTCTGTGGGATTCTGCTGCTGAAAGCTCATTGTTTTTCTCCTGGGTGTTAAGTGTCAGTGTTACTGAGTGAGCAATGAGGGGGCAGACGCTGACCAGTCTGGTTTTCTTATTGGGATATAGGCTTCGTTGCCCATTCTTCTGGTTGTTTGACACCTTATGTCTGGTTGTACGATGCCTTACGGTTGTATGATCAGATTGGATACTCACAACATCCACCAGAAACCCACTGGTAAGTTGGAGCAGTCAGCTGGAGTTCTTGAGTGAGCTTTTGTTCCATGGCTGAGCTTCTGGCTACTGCTTCTCACACACTTAGATCCTAAGATGAGCAATGTTAACCTCTGAAGGAAATGATTTGCCATAGTTCTACCTGTTCTCAAGGGCATAGTGTCTTTATCTTGGGCTGTTTTTCTGTTCTCTTCCCTCCCTGTCACAGAGTTGGGGGGCTAGCACATATCCAAACAAGGGAGACCTTGGAAGAACTTTAAGACAAACATGCTTGAGTCTAAAGTGGAAGGGAGGGAGGCACAAACTCATCTCCAGAACCAGCTTCTTAGTGAGCTCAAACAATTCATTGATAAGAAGGCACATTACAGGGGCTGGAGAGATGGCACAGTGGTTAGAGCACTGACTGTTCTTGCAGAAGGCCTGGGCTCCAAGCACCCATGTGGCAGCTAACAGCTATCTTTAACTCCAGTTCCAGGGGATCCGACACCCTCTTCTGTCCTCTGTGGGCATTGCACAACATGCGTGCACTTATACACATGCAGGCGTAACACTCATGCATATAAAATAAAAATCTTTAAATATTTAAAAATATTTTTAAAAAAGAATGCACATGACAGCTGCACCCTTGGGAGAGCTCCCTGCATGACTTTTGGGATGCTTAGCGGGAGTCTGCCCTCCCCAGCAGTTCTTACCAATTTGGGGAGGGGCCTGTGAGTCTTGTAAGTTTCAGGACTCTGTTGAGACTTTTTTCATTTATTTTCCGAGTCTTAAAGAACCTTCCTTGGGTATTAATATTTGAATTGGAGAACTTGCTACACAAGAAATTGAAACAACAGAAATATCCCACAAAAAGACCTAATGGCAGATCTGTTACCCAAACTTTCTTCCCCCTGGTGACAAGGATCAGCCCTGGGGTCTGGTGTATGCTAGGCATGTGCCCGATCACTGAACTGCTTTACCACTGCTTCCCCAAAGACTTAGAGTTATCTTCACGATCACAAAGGCAATTTTGAGTAGACAGAAGAATCAGTGAGTTTGAACATGGGGCTGTTTGTTTTATTGTTTGTGGTACTGAGGGGAACCTAGGAACTCCTCGATGCTAAGGAAGTGCTCTGCTCCTGAATTGCACCCTAGCCTAGGACAACTTAAGCTAAGTTTGTCAGGGGACACAAAAAAAGAGTGAACAAGAATGGATGGAGCTCAGGGTGCTGGGGGCATCTTCAAGAAAAAGGTGAGTGTTGCAGGGCTTCAGGAAAAGACAAGGAACAAGGAGAATTTTGGAGAGAAAAAAATAGTGATCAGAGCTTCCTGAAATTGATAAGGGCCATGAACAGGAACCTCAGAATAACTCAACAAATTTCCAATGAGATGAACTCATGTCCAAGATACAGGATGAAACCCTCAAAACCAAAGATGAAGATCATTGTAAAAGCTACAGGAAAGAAGCCATTCATGACAGGGTAAAGGGATCTGAACTTAAGGTTATTAGATTTGTCATCAGGAATTTTGGCTTCCCAAAGACAGTAATCTAATGTTAATTCACGTGCTAAGAGGAAAAACAAAAGCTATGGATCAAGATTTCTCCTCCTGGGCTAGGTTTATATTCAGCTCAGTGGTAGAGCACATACCTAGCATGTATAAGGCTCTGAGTGTACTGCTTAGTACAGAAAAAGGGGAAAAGAAAAAGAATCCTATACCTAATAACACTGTCCTTCAAAAATGGAAGAAGAGGGACTGGAAAGATGGCTCAGCTCTTCCAGAGGACCCAAGTTCGGGTCCTAGCACCCACATAGTGGGGGTGGGGGTTATAACCACCTCCAAGGGATCTAATGTCATCTTCTGGCTTCTTGAGGGCACCCCTACGTACATGCACATACCCACATATAGACACACACACACATACACACACACAGATAAAGTTGAAACTTTTTTTCTTTTTTTCATGAAGAGGGGCTGGCATGATGACTAAGCAGATAAGGGCACTTGAACTTGAGTTGATACCTAGATTCCATATGGCAGAAGAAGAGAATCCCTTAAATTGTCCTCTGAACTTCACATGTGTGCTATGGTGTGTATGCCTATACATACACATAGAAACCCACCCACACACACACACAACAAATGAATGAACGAACGAACGAACGAATGAATGAATGAAGTTTTTAAATGAAGACATTTACTGATAAAGAACTAAAGGACTTGGGGCTGGAGAGGTGGCTCAACAGTTAGAGCACTGGGTGCTCTTGCAGAGGACCTGGGTTTAGATCCCAGCACCCACACAACAGCTAACAACTGTCGAGTAATTCCAGTCCCAGCGGAGTGCAACGTCCTCTTCTGACCCCCTGGGCATTGCAGGACACGGGTATACTTCGATACCTGCAAGCGTAACACTCAAACACGTAAAAATAACTATTAAACAAAGAGCAAAGGGCTCACCACTCCAAGGCTGAGGTCACCCTTCAGGAGTGCAGGGTTCCTACAGGGGGTCAGCGGACAGCACTGACTCAGACCAGAGTCAGGACAAAAACCTGGGCAGTGGTAAAAGCCAGTATCAGTCAACAGTGGTTTGTAAGTGCACTTTTTTCTACATGCTTTAAGGTACCAATACACTAGAAATAGACTACAAGTAAATATTATTATTACTTTAATGTTTGTAACTCCACATTTTTTTTTAAAAAACAACCTGTGACAGCTGGGTGTGGTGGTGCGTGCCTTTAATCCCAGTGCAGAGGAAGCAGAGGCAGGAATATATCTGAGTTTGAAGCTAGCCTGGTCTACATGGTGAGTTCCAGGCCAGCTGGAGCTACAGGGAGTCCCTGTCTCAAAAAACAAACAACAAAAAAAGAAATAACCTGTGACATACATTTCAAACAATTGTTAGCTTAAATTTTTTGGTGTATAATATATAAAGATCTAATTTTGTGATGTCCATAACTAAAGGAGTGGAACAGCTGTTTAGGAAGTGGAGTTCTGTATTTTATTGAAACCATTCTGGTATAAATTCAAATCAGAATGTCACAACTTGAGAATGTTAAATGAAATCCCTGTGATAACCACAAAGAAAATAGCTGTAGAGCAGGATGTGACTGCATACCTGTGACCCAGCCTTTGAGAGACTGTGGCAGAAGGATTGAAGAGTTTGATGACATGAACTACACAGGGAGACCTTGTTCCAAAGGAAAAGAAATACTGTGTTTCTACTTATTTGAGGTACTGAGTAGTCAGAATTCGAGAGAAAAGTTGGTCACCTGGTCCTGGAGCAGAGAGGAATGGGTGGGCGGGGACTGTGTTTGAGCTTTACAAAGTGAAGAGTTCTGGCCATGAATACCTATGATGGTTGTGTGATGTTAGTTCAGTACCATTGAGATACAGATACTGAAAAAGTGGTTAGGTTGATAAACTTGATGTTTATATGTATTTTACCACAAAGATTCCACTTAGCCCTGTGAGTCTGGTATGTGTTCGTTTGTCTGAGTGTAAAGGAACATGTGCTCTTTGCCAACCTCATTCCATTTTAGCGTTTTATTTATTTACTTGTTTGATCTAAACTCTCACTGATGTCATTTTTCTAGGCTCTTGGAATGCTCTTTTGGCATAAGCATAATATTGAAAAATCATTGGCTGACTTGCCCAACTTTACCCCCTTCCCAGATGAGTGGACTGTAGAAGATAGAGTCTTGTTTGAGCAAGCCTTTAGTTTTCATGGGAAGACTTTTCATAGAATCCAACAAATGGTGAGTGCTTTGTCTTGTTTTGTCCTTTACACCTCAAATACCCTGTCACAACAACAAAAAAGATTTCGTTTATTTTGACTTTATGTGTAAGAATGTTTTGTTTGCATGTATGTAAACTACACCATGGGTGACCCTGGTGACTGGGGAACCCAAAAGAAGGTGTGGGATCCCCTGGAATTAAGTGGCCTCACCACCATGTGGTGATGGGGCCAAACCTGGGTCCTCTGGAAGGAGTAGTCAGTGCTCTTAACCATTGGACCGCCTCCTCCAGCCCTCTCAAATATCCCATTTTTCATAAAGCTCCTTTTAGAGAAAGCAGTTTACTAGTGCTAGTGTGTGGGTGAGAGGCTTCCAGTACAGCAGTGAAGCATTTCCTGGCCTTTCCAGCTTCTCGCCTTACTCCCTATGCCCCCCCCCGTGCCCCCTCCTCAAGGCCTCCTCACAAGATTAGATCAGCATAAGCGCAAAGGATCTTTGATGGTTTGGGGGGAACATCAAGGGTTCTTATCAGTCTCTAGACAGTTTGCTTTTTATTTTTATTATTTTTTTTTTTTTAACTCTCTACAAAGCTATTGGTAAACTCCAGCTTAAAAGTTTACTGATACTTGCATTAAATATTAAAAGGGATTTTAAAAAATTAAGCCAAGTTAAGGCCCAGCGTGGTTATGCACACCTGTAGTCCCAGCACTTGGGAGGCAGAGGCAGGTGGATCTCTGTGAGTTCGAGGCCAGCCTGATCTACATAGTGAGTTCCAGGACAGCTGGGGCTACAGGGAGACCCTGTCTCAAAAAGACCAAAAACAAAACAGAAAACAAAAATTAAGCCAAGGGGCTGGAGAGATGGCTCAGTGGTTAAGAATGCTTCCTGCATAATCACAAGAACTAGAATTGGATCCCAGAATCATGTAACACGCCAGGCATTTTGTATACGCTTGTAACCCCAGCTCCAAGGGGGGGTGGTACAGGATAATTTCTGGGACTTACTTACTGGCTTTCAGTCTTGCTGAAAAAACGAGAGCTCCGGGTTCTTCAAGCAGAGATCTCACCTCAGTCGAATAAGTGATGTGTTGTCGGGGGACACCTAATGCCCTCTTCCGGCCTCCACGTACATCCCACACACCTTTTTTAAAATGTTGGATATTAGTTATGTGAAAAACAATTTCTCAAATTCTGACTTCACAGTTTTTTGTTGACCAAGTGTCACTACAGACATAAGTAGTTAGAAAAAAATACATTGTCCTTTTTTGAGACAGGCTTTCCTTGTAGCCCCACCACGCCCAGCTGAAAACAATATATTGAAAATGCATTTTGTCAGCTTTTTTTTTTTAACCTTTCCAGAAAAAAGGGTGTGACTTCAGCCATTGTAGAATGTGAGGGGGACTATACTGTGTCTTAAGTACACTTCCATAGGGATCTACACCACTCACTCTTTGCATTTAGCTTCCCGATAAATCCATAGCAAGTCTGGTCAAGTTCTACTACTCTTGGAAGAAGACAAGAACTAAAACCAGTGTGATGGATCGTCATGCTCGGAAACAAAAACGGGAGCGGGAAGAGAGGTGAGCCTATTGCTAGGGATGTCATCTGAATGCTTGGCCATCAGCTGGTGGGTACAGAGAGGAAAGACAGTGACAGCTTTCTCCAGCACCTTCCTGGTAGAGCCAGAACGTACATGAGGGTTCTTGAGCCGAACCTATGAGAAAGTCCCTCTGGAGAGCCCGATTCTTGTGCAGTCAGTGAGCTTCCATTCAGAATGAGTGAGTTTGAACACATTTTTTCCTTCTGCTTAAAAGTGATGCCTTTTAATAAAAAGGGATTTCATTGTTGTTTCATAGGTTGAAATTTATTTAGTATGGCAGTTGAGCCACCTGGTGTGTGTTTATGTTTAGGTTGCTTTAAAGAGAAAGAATTTAGTTTATTTTGGCTGTATTAGTTACTTCTTGTTACTGTGACAAAAGTGACTGAGGAGGAAGAAAGGTTCCTTCTGAGTTGGCAGTTCCAGGGTACAGTCCGTCCACCATGATGGAGATGGTGGTGGCAGGAGTGTGGGGCAGGTGATCACATGGCATCTGCCCTCAGGAAGCAGAGGGAGATGATGCTGGTAATCTGCTCACTTTCAATCCTTTGTATTCAGTCTAGGACCTTGGCCATGGCATGGTGCCTTCCATAGTCAAGGTGGGTCTTCCCACCACAACCACCCTGATCTAGATAGTCCCCACAGACATGCCTGAAAGATTGTCTTCTGGGGATTCTAGAGCCTGTCACATCGGAAATCAGTCTTACCCATTGCAGCGTCTTTCTTCCTGTTACTGCCATCTTTTGTGCGAGTGAGAGGGACATCTCATCATGTCTTAAAAAGACGTCAGTTCTGGGGCTGGAGATGGTGGGTTAGCACACTGGCTGCTCTTGGAGAGGACCCCTGGGGTTCAATTCCCAGCACCCACATGATCGCTAACAACAATCTGCAAGTCCAGTTCCAGGGGATCCAACACCCTCTTCTGGCCTCTGTAGGCATTGTACGACATGAGTGCACTTACACACATGCAGGCAAAGCACTCATACACATAAATACAAATAAATAAATAAATAAATAAATAAAATTTTTTTTTTGGTCTTTTTGAGACAGGGCCTCCCTGTAGCCCCAGCTGTCCTGGAACTCACTATGTAGACCAGGCTGGCCTTGAACTCACTGAGATCCGCCTGCCTCTGCTCTCCGCTGAGCCTGTATCCCTAGCCTGATAGTAGATAAGGATAGCTCATTAAGCTTCAGTAAGGAAGGATGTCTCTTAGCAGAGAGTAGTGTGGATGGTTGTGTTCTCATACTCAGTGGGCTGTTGGCTCAGTTCTCAGGGTTCTGCTTTATTCTCTTGGACAAGTTTATTCAGGATGAGTCTTGTAGCCTGAGGATGCTTGAAGTCCAGAGGGCAGTGCACAGCACAGAAGCTTTTGTGTTAGAGTAGTAGGAATAGAGGTGGCCTTTGGAGAGTTAGGCATTGCACATTTTCTGTAGCACACTGTGTCTTATAAAGTAACAGCATAAAAGAAAGGATGAACTGTACAGCCCCAAGGTCCCTCCCTGTATAGTTTATTATTTCTTCTGAAAGAATGAATAGCATGTGAGAACATGGAAAATGGCAGCTCACTGGAGAGAAGTCAAACCTCTGGGCCCGAGTCAATGGAGAGTGATGTTGAGAGCAAATCTGGGGCTGGTGAGATGGCTCCGTGGGTGCAAACACTTGCCCTCCATCCTGGTGACCTGGTCTTCGATCCCTGGGACCCCTTGTTGGAAGACGAGAGCCAACTCCTGCAGGTTGTCCTCTGACTTCTATGTACATGCACATGCTTGGGTGTGTACACACACATACGCAAAATAAACAAAAGTGATTTTTAAAAAAAATCTCCAGAGCTCGGTGTGGTTGAGTGCCCCTGTAGACCCAGAACACAGAAAGCTGAGGCAGGAGGGTTACTTGAACCCATGAGTTCTCAGCAGTGCAGCTAGATGCCATCTCAAAAAACAACAGCAAGAAAACGAGGTGATGCAGCAGTGCTGATGGCCACGATGCACATGCGTGTTTTTTGTATAAATGCTGTCACATCTGTTTAGGGGTCAGCACTCCCACTTGGTGTCTCCAGACAGTGTCTCATGTAGCCTTAGCTGGCCTGGATCTCTTTGTGTAGACCAGGCTGGTCTGGAATTCGGAGAGAGACATCTTCCTGCCTCTGCCTCTTGGGCTGCAATTATAAGCATGTGCCACCACAACCAGCTTAGTGCTCTAAATTTTGGTCAAAGTTTTTATTTCCTTTATATTTTAGATCTAATTTGATTACAAATTGAGCTTGTTGAAACATAATTGCAGTCCACTAAGCAGCAGTCAAAATTAAATAGATAATTGGGGTTCGCAATCCTTGATCATGACATAGGAGAGCCAGGTGATCTCCCCCAGGGGCTCCTCTTTGTGTTGCTGCATTGGTGCTGAGAATTTCTATGCGTGTGTCCCACTCCATATGCCCCTCACCTTGTCAGGACCCAGACCTACAGGCCTTGACAGCAGCACCTAAGAGGTTACTGACTTCCTTGAGGACTTCCTATGAAAGTAATGGCAGGGACTTTGGCAAAATTCCTTTAGCTCCAGAGTCTCTTCTTTTAAAAAAAAAAAAAATGTATTTTTTAAAATTTTATGTGTATATGAGTATACTGCCTGCATGTATGTTAAGTGCACGTGTATCACGCAATGTCCACGGAAGTCAGAAGAGGGCATTGGATCCCCTGGAGTTATGGACACTTGTTAGCCATGTGGGTGCTGCGAACCAAACCTGGGTCCTCTACAAGGGCAGCCAGTGCTCTTCCACCAAGCCATCTCTCCAGCCCCTGAGTCTTTTCTTGTACACTCTGTCCAGCTATACCTTCTTTATGCCTTGGGTGATAGCTGGGGAGGAGGTACCACACGGAGGATGAGCTCAGCTAGGAAGGATTCTTGAGACTGTAGCGTGAGGTTGGCACTGAAGACTTTGTATTTTGCTACCACCGCTGCTCCTTTGGTTTGGTTCTTTTGTTTTTTGAGACAGGGTCTCCCTATAGCCCCAGCTCACATAGAACTTGCTATGTAGACCATGCTGACCTTGCTCCCATGGTTTTAACTGGGCACACTGGGATAGGCCTCGGTGAGACTCAGGTGTCTCATTTTTTAAAAGATGGAGAGGCTCTTACTACTACAGGCACTTGAAGTGCCGTGCTAATCTGAGCCTCTCATTTAGATAAAACTTAATTTTAAAATATTAGTTATACAAGCCTCTAAAAAGACCCAGCTTTGCGGTGGTGAGTAGAAAGGTGTGACTTAATGGACTCTTCATGCCAAGTCAATTTCAAATGCAGTAGAATTTAGTTTTTATAAAAATGTTCAGTTTTGTTGATTACACCCTAGTCCCTCAGTAGATAATTGTAGGGAGAGAAAGTAAATATCTTTTACATTTTATTCTCAGCTAAGAATTGAAGGAAAATATTTGACAAATGCAGAGGAACAATATTCTAGACCTGGCTTGGATAGTTGGAACCTGACTTTTAGTAGTTTTTAATCATTTAGACTAAAAGAACTATGAAGTTAGTATTCTATTTGAATTATAAAAATATCTGTCTTAGCAGTCTGAAGTTGTATAGAGCAATTTGAGAGTAAATCAGTTTGTGTCTTATGTTTGTATGTGAAATAGAATTAATAGAAAATAGCCTCTCAGTAACTTGTTCTTATTTCCAGTGAGGATGAAGTGGAGGAAACAAATGGAGGTAACCCCATCGACCCTGAGGTTGGTCAAGCCAAGGAAAGCAAGAAGGAGGTATTTCCCTAACATTCCTAGGCAAATAGCTTACTAGTTCAACACTAACACCTGTGTATTACGCATTAATGTAAGTGCTGTGTGCGAAGGTTCATGCTTGAATTTTAAACGACACCAATGTTGCTTTTTAGAACTTAGACTTCCATTTGTTCACAGTCACAAGAAAAGTAATTCTTAGGGGAAAAGTTCCATTGATGAAGGCTTCTCTTCCTATCTTTAAGCAAGAGTTCTCATTACTCAAAGACACCATAGACTCTGGGAGTTCTCTGTAATGTACAAGAACACTTATTTTAAGTTTACAAAAACTAAAGGGTCAGCCAGGCGTGGTGGCACACGCCTTTAATGCCAGCACTTGGGAGGCAGAGGCAGGTGGCTCTCTGTGAGTTCGAGGCCAGCCTGGTCTATATAGTGAGTTCCAGGCCAGCTGGGGCTACAGGGAGACCCTGTCTCAAAAAGACCAAACAAACAAAAACTAAAGGGTCTAGACATGTCTAAATTTAAAATTATAATAACGATACATGTTTTTGAGAGCTAAGGAAAATAAGACAGTTCAAGTGATTTACAGTGTTATCACCCATAATCAGTGTTAGGAGCTTTTGAGATAACTTTCTCTGTAAAAGAAAACCATACATAATTTACAAATTTATTCACATTTAAATTAATTTTTATGACTTAAATTTATCTTAAATGTGATTTTATTTTAAATATACATAACCATGTGTTATTCTGTCAGATGAAATCTTTCGTATTGAGGTAACCGGTCTTACATAGCTTTCTGCTAGCTTAACTCTTTGCTGTTATAATGGAATTGATGGTCACGTATCTAAATATTTGTGCACTTAGTTTTTTCCCATTAAAATAATTCCTGAAAGTTGATTTGTCTCCTCAAAGTGTCTTCTTTCAGCAGACCCAACTAAGGTGGAAATTGGTCATTCCCAGGTGCCATTTTTGCCAGTGTTACAGAAGTGTCTGAAGGACAGCATCCTAGGGGTTAATATACTTGGATTACTTGGAAAGTGAAATGTACTTAGACTTTTTCCTTGTTTGGATGCATTGTTACATGTTAGATTCTTTAATGACTCAATTTCAATAGACAAACTAATTTTCTGTAATTTTTATATGGTACAAGTTATGACTGAAAAAGAAAAATTTTAAATCTTAGTTTAAATATAAAATGTTATTAGTAGTAAGTAGTCTTGATGGAGTAACAGTGCTGCACAGAGTATAGTTTGCTGTGTACTAATATTTTATGGTATTGAGTACCACAAGACATTGCCATGGTAGCTGAGTTATCTTTTATAACTCAGTTCTTTAAAAATATGAAGCAAAAACTGGGTGGCTCACGCCTTTAATCCCAGCACTCAGGAGGCAGAAGCAGGTAGATCTCTGTGAGTTCAAGGCCAGCCTGGTCTACATAGTGAGCTCCAGGCCAGCTGGGGCTACAGGGAGACCCTGTCTCCAAAAGACCAAAAAAAAGAACCAAAAAGCCATTTTAAGCTATGGTTCGCTTTATCATTGAATGTTACCCTGACAAATTAAGATTATTAACAATTTTGTGTGTGTGTGTGTGTGTGTTTACCTAGTTGGGCTTTTTGGAGGTAGGGTCTCTTATAACCCAGGTTCTATGTAGCTGAGGATGACCTTGAATTCCTGTTTCTTCCACTTCCACCTCCACCTCCAGAAAAGGCTGGGATTATAGATGTTATCACCACCATGCCCAGCTTAAATCTTCTTATTCTTAAACGATTACCTATAAGACATAATTCTTTGGTTGCCAAGCTTTTGTATTTTTTATTTCTGAACATTTTGATGATGGCACATTTATGGAGCAGATTATGTAAGTAAGTTGCCCTAAAAGTTAAATGTTGTCCTAGAAGAAATGATGTGTAAAACATCAGTTTCATATTGAAGTTCCTATTTCTTATTGAAAGAGTCACAGATTCTTCCCCGACCCCCCCCCTTTGCTTCCCTCCTCCCTCTGTTCTTGTTCTGTGCCCACAGGTCATCTGTCTAGCTAGAAATGCAATGGCTCATTTATCTGTATTTCATGGAGACAAAGTCACAAGAAAATACAGCTTTTTTCTCCTTCCTGTGTTATTATCAGAGACTTAAAGAGATAGAGAAATTTCTGCTCCTTGAAGTGTTTAGCCAAAATCCCAGAGCCACAGTTTTTGTCTTTAACCACCTTCTAGAATTTGTAGGTGGTGATTAGATAAGCATGGTATTGTTTTGATTGTTTCGGGCCATGTTGAGGACATATGCTTATTGCTATGCATTTGATACTCATGACTTTTAATTTTCATTTACCAAATATGTCAATCATGCAGGTGCCCCCTACTGAGACAGTCCCTCAGGTCAAAAAAGAAAAACATAGCACACAGGCTAAAAATAGAGCAAAAAGGAAACCTCCAAAAGGAATGTTCCTTTCTCAAGAAGACGTGGAGGCTGTCTCTGCTAACGCCACTGCTGCTACCACGGTGCTGCGACAACTAGACATGGAGTTGGTCTCCATCAAACGACAGGTACCCACCAGACCAGTGTTGAAACTGTTTAAGAACAGCTCTTCCCTCCTCACAGTGCCAAAAGAGCACTTTATTTTTTATTTTTTATTATTATTATTATTTGAGGGGCATGTGCCATGGTGTGTGTGTGTGTAGAGGTCCATAAGACCACTTTGTGGAGTTGTTGCTCTCATTCCACCTTTACATAGGTTCTGGGAATCGAGCTCAGGTTGTCAGGCTTGCATGGCAACCACTGAGCTATCTTGGTGGCCCCAAGAACATTTTATTTCTAAGGAATTGGAGAGAAGATCTTAGGTATTACTCCCCCTTTCAAAAAATAATTTAAAATTGAGTTATTAGATACAAACGTATATGGATATTATTTTTACTTGTTTTTTTGTTTTGTTGATTTTTTTTTTTTTTTTTTTTTTTGTCTTTTTGAGACAGGGTCTTCCTGTAGCCCTAGCTGGCCTGGAACTCACTCTGTAGACCAGTCTGGCCTTGAAATCACAGAGCTCCACCTGCTTCTGCCTTTTGAGTGCTGGGATTAAAGCCATGCACCACCACACCCGGCTATGGATATTATGTTTATATACAGTACAAATATTTGTTTATGTGTGTATGCACCAGCGAGTTTTTTTAAATGTTTATTATTTTTATTTTATGTGTATGAGTGTATTGCCTGAATGTATGTGAGTGCACCCGTGTCATGCAATGCCACAGAGGTCAGAAGAGGGCTTCGGATTCCCCTGGAACTGGAGTTAAGGACGGTTTGTTGCTGCCATGTGGGTGCTGGGAATCGAATCTGAGTCCTTTGCAAGAGCAGTCAACGCTCTTAACCGCTGAGCCATCCCTCCAGCCCCACCAATGAATTTTTTAAGTAATCTCTGTCTGGACCAGGAAATAGGACACTGCCTCCAGTCCCCTCCATTGCCCCATTTACTTTTCTGTTGCTGTAATGAAATACCATGACCAGACACAACTTAAGGAATAAAGATTATTTTGATTTATGGTTCTGTAATAGAAGACAACATGGTGACAGGAAGTTGAGAGCTCACAGCTCCAACCACATGGAGTGTACAGTGAGCTGAAAGTGGGGTGAGGCTGTAACCCCCAAAGCTGCCCTGGGGTCAGCTCCCTGCAGCCAGTCTTTACCTGCTGAAAGTTCCAGACACCACCAGCTGGGGACCAAGTATTCGAATGCCTTAGCCCATGGGGAACATTTCTCATATGGGGAACATTTGTCATGCAAACTACCATGTTAAAAAGAGATTCTGGGCTGAGACTTGTAGCTCGGGCAGCAGTAGCACACTTGCTCTATGTGGAAAGCCATGGATTTGATTTTCATCACCAGAAATTCTTTTAGTCCATTTTAGGGTTTTATAAAAAAATAACTACAAAATACTGTGTCTTTTATATTTTCCCCCTCCCTCCCTCCCTCCCTTTTCTCCCTTTCCTTCTTAACACAGGGTCTCACTATGTATCCCCAGCTGGCCTGGAACTCCCAGAGATCCGCCTGCCTGTGCCTCCTGAGTGCTGGGATTAAAGGCATGCGCCACCATGCCCGGCTGTGTTTGGCTTGCTTTCAGCATAGCAGACCTGTCCAAGTATTACAGAGCTTTGCTTCTTATTGCTTCTTTCTCATTACTATATAAACAGCCTGTGAACGAAACTTTTTACTGAGGTAGACAGTTGGACTGTTTCCATTTGGGGCTGTTACACATGCTATTGCTATGAATCATGTAACTCTTGGTATAATATGCATGCATCTCTGTTGAGCACATCTTTGTTGAATCTCTGAAAGTAGAGTTGATAGGTTGTCACGTATGCATATGCCCAGCATTGGAAGACACACAGCTCTCCAGAGTACCCTTGTCAGTTATATGCATTCGGTTGCACCACATCAGCATTTTCCACGTGCAGCACACTTTGAACTGTGCTGTGTATTGTAGGTGTCCAAGCATCCTTCCTAACCTCACCGTGTTGGCACCTTCCCTCCACCAGAGGTGGCAGGCCTTGTCGCAGGCGTTGGCCCTTTCTGTCTGCTCAGTCTTCTTCTGACCTTTCTGTGGGGTTGTGTTCTTTTGGTTGGTTAGCTTGCTTGCTTGTTTATTTGGCTTTGAGACAGGGTCTCCCTGTTATAGCTCAGGCTGGCCTCAAACTCAGGATTCTCTTGCCTCTGCCTGTATATTTCCTTATTGATTGTTCTTTTTTCTGGTTCTAAGTTGTTTCCCACCTGCCTGTCTCATAATTTCCCACTCTGTCTCACCTTTGCACTCTCTTAACTGTATTTTCTGAAATTCATTAAAGTAGTCCAGCTTCTCAGTCCTCTGGTTGCTGGGTTTTGAGTGCTGTTGGGAGCCTTCCCCCACGATGCAAGCATGCCACATCACCTTAGCAGCGTTGCTTTCCTGTTTGTATTTTATCTTCAGTCTACTTAGAAGTTTTGTCTAAATGTGTTACATGTGGAGTTTGGTATTCAGTGTTTTAAGTATGGGCATCCATTTCACCAAGTACTTTCTATTGAAAAAATCTGACATTTCCTTACTGCAGTCTAACAGGACCTTTGTTTAAAAATGAATGGTGGTGCACGCCTTTAATCCCGGCACTCGGGAGGCGAGGCAGGCGGATCTCTGTGCGTTCGAGGCCAGCCTGGTCTACATAGTGAGTTCCAGGACAGCTGGGGCTACAGGGAGACCCTGTCTCAAAAGACAAAAAAAAAAAAAAGAATGGGTCTGGCCCGGAGGGACGCTCAGTGGTTAAGAGCACGTACTGCTCTTCCAGGGGACCCGGGTTCGATTCCCAGCAACCACGTTGAACAGTTTACAACTGCCTATAACTCCAGCTCCTGGGGATCCAACTCCTCTGGCTTCCTCAGGTATCACTCATTTGTACAGAGACGCACACACATATACATCATTTAGAATAAAACCACGTAATTAAAAGTGGATGGATCTAACTGAGCTTGTGGTGGTGGCGCAAAGCAGCAAAACATGGAGCGATCTGATTGTGTTTTCTGTCCTTTGGTTGGTTCATCCTTCCCCAGTACACAGGACTGCCTGACCGCCTGATTTTATGTACTTTATAAATTTATTTGTGTGGCAGTATTAATCTCCTGGGACTTAATAAACTTTAGCCCTTTGTGTTTCTATATAAAATTTTTACCACTTTTTTCAAATCCCAGAAAAATAATTTCGGTTGGGATTTTATTTAGCCATCAAAATAATAGCTTTCTTAGACTTGGTGATGAGCAGAGACGGCGTGCTCGTCCACTGTGTAGTCTTCACTTTTTTGTGTGTTTTATCATTTTCTGTGTACAAGGTTTATACACCCTTCATTAGAATTATTCCTAGATACTTGGTACTTTTTTGGGTGCTCTTAAAGATTTGGGGGGACAGTGATGGGAATTGAACCTTAGGACCTCACACATGCTAGGCAAATACTCTACCTCTGAGCTATATCTCCAGTTGTTGACATTGTTTTTAAAATTATATAGTTATTTGTATATACTGTATAGAAAGGGCTCATCGCTTTAATCTGATTGCATGATGGCACTTAAACTGCAGGTTCAGCCTAGCAATCTAAATACAGGCTTTTCATTAATGTTTCTTTCTCCTTCCCTCCCTTTCTTCCTTCTCCCCCAACTCCTTTGATTAGTTAATATGGTGATTCCCTTGCAAGGTTAAATCGGAGACCAGCAGTCATCTTTTACCCAGTGAGGTGGTCTTGGTGGCCTTGTCTTTGATTCAGGGAGGAGCATAGACAACGGGAGGCCAAGGCTACCCCGGAGTCAGAGACAGAGAGCACCTCCTTAGCCTGGCCCAGCTGTGCTCTCATCTTAGGAGAATCGCTTAATCTTCCTAGACCTCTTTTCAAATGAGATTAATCCTTTCAGCCTGAGCCTTGTAGCTGTGTTAGGGCTGTTGCACAGGAGCATTTTAAGTGCTGTTGGTAGTGGGAGCAATCTGATGAGGGCTCTGACATTTGTCCTCTGCAGGGAGGTTTCTGTCAGCTCTGCTGAGTGAGGGTCTAGTGCTGCGGAAACAAGAGGCTCTTCTCTGTTACTAATTTTAGCATGAGAAATAAGAAAAATTCTTGGGTTTTTTCACAGCAGTTTGAAGATAATTACTGAGGGATTGGCAATGTTGAAGAGAGAGGGCTTAGAAGGCAGTTACTCAGGTGCCACAGCTGGCAGATGATGAGGCTTTTTGTGTTCGTGTACTTCTAGACTCAGGAGGACAGCCTCTCCCAGAGGGATGCTGGTATATCAAGGAAATACCTCAAAATAACAGAAAACCTGCTTACACCAGTTCAGACAACAAAGGAATGAGAAGCCCCACCGTCAGTGGTCGCCATGAAGTTCATCCATCCTCTACCTTTCTTAGTGTGTCAGCTCTTTGCTGTTGCCTTTAGAAGCTGCAGAAACCATTTTGTGATCTCACATCTGTATTCAGGGAGTAGGAACAGGAGATAGAGGTGGAGCCACCTGCCTGTCCCTGTTAGCAGGGGAAACAAAAGCCTCCTTCCAGAAGCCCCAGGCTCCTTCGTGCCTGTACCCTGCATGCTGCTCCTCCTGGCTCTAAGGGAGCAGAGGCAGCTCTGTCAGAGACGGTGAAAACCAGGCTAAGAGTCTCTGCTACTTCCCAGTGAACACAGCTTGTACTTAATGAAGAATGAGTGTTCTGACAGGAGGCAGGAATCACTGTGCACATGATAAAGTAAAACTAATACTGTGTTTACCTGGGAGGTCCAGGAAAGGCACTAGGCCGGCTGCATGGATCACCTTGCCTTTTTTTCCCTTTTCTTTCTGTAAATGCTGTATTCTTCCATATCCTGATCTTACTCAGCTTCCTTTCTAGTTGACATGATGTTGGCAAGTACCCTGTAATTCTGATTAGAATCCCAGAGACTCTGCCCTCCTCCATTCTACCCCCACCAACCCTCTCCACTGGTTCGTCTAGAGACAGGGTCTTACTTCTGTTTTGCAGGCTGGCTTCCAGCTCTCTGTCTCCCTGCCTCGCTCAGCCTCTCCAAGTGTTAGGAGTGGCCACTGCGCCCAGTCCCCAGTGTGTGTGTTTTTGTACCTGTATACATTTTTTTGTTTGTGTGTTTTGTTTTGTTGGTTTTTTGTTTTTTTGTTTGTTTGTTTTTTGTCTTTTTGAGACAGGGTCTCCCTGTAGCCCCAGCTGTCCTGGAACTCACTATGTAGACCAGGCTGGCCTTGAACTCACAGAGATCCACTTGCCTTTGCCTCCTGAGTGCTGGGATTAAAGGCGTGTGCCACCGCCTGGCTCATGCATACATATTTTTATAGTTCTGTTTTTAAAAAATCAGGAACAGGGCAGGAGAGATGGCTCAGTGGTTAAGAGCCCTGGATGCTCTGGCAGAGGACCGAGTTTCGATTTCCAGCACCCACGTGGCTGGAACCGTCCATAACTCCAGTTCCAGGGGAATCCAACACCCTTTTCTGGCCTCCATGGGCATTGCACGACACGGCTGCACTTATGTACATGACAATACACTCATAGACATAAAGTAAATAAATATCAGAAACAAAGAAGTAAGTAATTGGAATTTAGATATCTTTGGTATAGAACTTGTGGGAATTGTACATTTACTCTATATGCTTCTTTGCTTTATACAGAAAAGATGCATGTACTAAACAGATTCATCTCTTTGGAAAATGCACATTACTTAATCCTCGCACATCATATATCAATTTTGACTGTGAAGAGCTGGCTCAAGTCAAGAGTGGCACTTTTTTTTTTTTTTTTTTTTCGGAGCTGGGGGCCAAATCCAGGGCCTTGCATTTGCTAGGCAAACGCTCTACCACTGAGCTAAATCCCCAACCCCGGTTGGTCTTTTTTTTTTTTTTTGAGACAGGATCTCCCTGTAGCCCCAGCTGTCTTGGAACTTGCTATGTAGACCAAGGCTGGCCTTGAACTCACAGAGATCTGCCTGCTGAGACTAAAGGTGTACACCACCATGCCCAGCTAAGAGTGGCACTTTTGAGAATTGGCTTGGTCCCAGTCAGAAGTGTCTAAGGCTAGATTTTTATCTTAAGGAGAATGCACTAAGCATGCTCAGAGTTCCCGGAAGCACTTTGTTGGTTTGTAAGTGGAGGTGCCTCACCACTAATGCTTCCATTAGCTGCAGATTCACTAAGAGACCCTGTCTCAAAGAATAAAAAGGTGAGGAGTAATCAGAGGAAGATACTATATGTCAGCCTCAGACCTCCACATGTGCATGCACACACTGTACACATATACAACACAATACACACATCCTAAAAAAAAAACCAAAAAGATACGGTGACAAACAGCTACAATCTCAGCACTTGGGAAATGGGGACAGGAGGCTATCAAGACACCTCCATCTACATAGTGAGTTCGAGACTGGGCTGCATTTTGAGACCCTGTCTCCACAAAACCAGCAACAACAAAAGAAGACAGAATAGAAAGAGGTACCTGAAGGGGGCTGGAGAGATGGCTCAGCAGTTAAGAACACTGGTTCTTGCAGAAGACCCAGGTTTGAATCCCAGCACCTACATGGCAGCTAACAACTGTCCGTAACTCCAGTCCTAGCAGGGACTCTGACAGTCTTTTCTGACCTCTGTGGGCATTGCACGACACGGGTGCACTTACCTACATGCAGGCAATACA